GAAACGTTGATGTAACAAGTCGACATCACCGAAATACTGATCCTTCATTGATGCGGCCATGATTTCCATGTCAATGTCCGCATTGATGCGTGAGAACTCATCAACCATTACAGCATGTCCATGTGCTCGGTGTATATGGTGATCATCGATGTCCAAACAGCGACACGGAAAGGATGTTTCAGGAGTCCATCTGCGCTGCCATGTGCGGTAGTTGTAGATCTTGTCGCCCAACGTGGCACTGCGAGTTTCCACCACCCGGATCTTTGGAAGGAAAAGGGAGGGAAACAAATCACGATGAGAAGCAATCCAGCTTTGTAACCATGTGCCAAGTAGAGCTTTCCAATTCCGGACATGTAGAGGCGGTAGGAGTAGTTGTGTCAAAGTGGTGGGTGATTGTAGCTGTCGTTTGCGTAACACCTGGGCGAGGAGTTTCTGCGCCTTGGAGCGGAAGGGCTCGTTGACAAAGACGGAGAGCCGCAGAAAGTAGTAAAGCTGAGTAGGAGGGAAAGCTGCCGACAGAAGGTCACGCATGGCTTGGAACGATGCACCTGTATTGGATCCCAGCTGATAGAGAATAGAGTAATGGGCCTGAATGTCATCCAGCATGTCGGGACGTAGTTGCCGTTGGAGATCCGGATGTAGTCGTCGTCGAAAGCGTTTGTGCAAGCCGAGGGAAGTGGGAGACGACAACGAGTGACGTCGAAAATCAACGAGGTGTTCCCGGAAGCCCACCTTTCGCAGAAGTCTGTGTACCCAGGGTGCATTCAAATGCGGGCGTAGCAGGTATTGCCATTTGCTTTCCTGGACCCAAACCGAGGAAACGGGAAGTTTGATCTCAACCGGAACAGCACAGAAGAGCCAGTAAGTATTGGATCGCTTCCAGTAGTGAAGCGCGGGTTCGAAGAAGGCATGACGTCTTCGAAGTAGTTGTAGAAATTTGCGACTGCGTGAGTGTTCACGTCGTAGAACATCCTGATCAGTCGCACCAACGTAGTAAGGTGTGTGCCATGGGGAAAGTCGGATGTAGACGCACGGTTGTTGATGATGACCTGGATCGTGAATGAAGTCATAGAGGTCCGGAAATCGTGCCCGCAATGAGCGAAGATGTCGCGTGTCGGCAAAAGTGGAGTGCATGATTTCACACAAGAGAGAAGCCTTGTAGAAGTGAAGGACTTCAAAGAACGGCGGAAAGTAGCCATGATCTTGGGAAATGAGACGTTGTAAGAAACTGATCAATAAATAGGCAGTGCACCGACATCTATGAATCTCATACCTGTTGGCCACAGTGTGTTGAGAGTGTGACATAGCGTGATTCGGAATCTGAAGGGCAATCCGAACCACAACTAAGACTTCCAGAATGAGGCCCAACCACGGTAGTTGTGTGATTGATTCGTACTCTTCAGCTGGTATCGACGGTGGTGGTAGTCCAGGGAAGCAGTATTGCCAGCACGTAGAGAACATGGTCAACAAGTGTAAAAAGTTGTCCAGAGACTGCCATTGTGCAACATCATCATAGATTCCACTGCGGCGAAGCTCATCCAACATGGTGAAAATGCAACCAATGAAATCTACCATAAGGCGGCGACATGGATACAAGCTGCACAGACAATCACGCACAAGGCAATGCAAGCACAACCAAGCGCAAGATCAAACTGATGCAACGCAGAAAGATGACGGACGAGTTTTAACCTTGACTCATCCGTGACACGGTTGCCGCTCCGGGCTCATAAGAGAACGAAGGTCGTTAAGATGCCTGCTCATCAGCTGAGTAGGCGAGCGGTCACGATGAGGTGACTCAATGCCTTCTCAGTGAGCTTGGTGAGATAGCCGAGCTCCAGTCCCCACGAAGCCGCCATCGCCCCGAGAGTAGGTGCGTCGCCTTTCGGCATGCGCGCGGTTGAAGGAGCTGCGTCGCCATGGAATCTAATGACTTGTTGCCGTTGAGCCGGGACGGGTGATTGGCCCACTTGACCAGTGACGTCAAAGTCGTGGTTGTGGGCGATTGCTTGAGATAAAGGCGTGGCTGGTCACTGGTCCATGTGTAGTACTTGACAACTTCTTCCGGCGTGCTGTGCATGGTGAGCAATTGTGACGCCGCCGGCTTGGACGGCGGTGAAGACACTCCGTGAAGAGACTGAATGATCCGGGGCTGCACCGCGCTATCAAACGACTTGCCATCAAGGGCCGCTGCGCTGGCTGTAGGAAGGGAGCTGGCAGGTGACGAGGATGGTGTGTGGTTGACCGGTGGCGGTGTAACCAACTCTGCATCATCTTTCTGGCTTGCCATCGTGGGAGAGGTCGAAGCGCGCAGCGATGCTGAATACTGAGCCTGGAGCAGCTCATGCGCACGATTTAGATCATTGTACTTCTTGACCATGTCATCTGTCTGGGTGGAAGGTGTGAGAGAGGCGTGGTGTTGCTGAAGAAATTGAAGTACCAAGCTGGCCAAATGGTCATGAACCTTGATCCGCTGATTGAAGTCATCGATGTTGAGACCCAGCGAGTTGGCAAGGTCCTTTTCCAGGGTGAGCAGGTTGATCGACTGTGATCGTCGTAGTAGTTTGGAACAGGTACTCCAAAGTAAGGCCTCGGTGCGAGTGCGAAAGCCTTCCCACGTCACGAATCTGCCGTGAGCGAACGGTCGGAGCAGCCAGTTGGTGAGGCCCCCATGAATAACCTGAACCAGGCGAACGTCACGAATATCCATGCCTGACATGTCGCGCAGGTTGCCATGCGGAGTGTTGGCAACGGTCATGGGCAGGCTAAAGTTGTAGAGCTGATTGACATCAAACATGCCATCTCCAGGTGTCCAGTCAGGCGATGGTGTAAGCCAGGCTTTCTGAGGGCGAACCGGTAGAGCCGCAGGAGGTCCAGGTGGCGGTGTAGGTTGCGGAGTAGTGACCGGTGGTGGCATCACGGGTGGCATGAACTTCGTTGGCGTGGGGTCTGGAGGGATCGGCATCATGTAGTTGATCGCTGGGTGTTGGAATTGCTGTGTGGGACTGTGAGTCGATTGAAAATTGGTGGGCATCATCGGGAAATTGTTGGCAGAGTTGTAGCCGGAATTGTGTTGCCAAGATACCAGGTTGTTCCAATCCATGCCTTCCGAGACGTGGTGGTCATTGTGTTCACGTCGGTGTGCTTTACGAGCCTGAGGAGAAGTACTCCGATCACGTCTGCGCCGAGTCCTGGATCTATCACGATCATCACGTCGAGACATGGTTACACAATCGACTCTCAATCTTCACGCTTCCATCTTGAGAGACACGTATCAGACAACAAGCAAATCCATGCAACGGCAAGGTAACAACGAATCCAACAAATGGCAAGCAAACATCGATGGTGAGACGTCTCTGTGATCTGACCGCTGTCTTCCCTTTAGTGAGACCTCGTTCCTGGTTAAATGTGAAATTCCGCTGTTCTATGATAAGCACGTTGAGGTCAAATTTTCCGACAGAGCCGGCCCGGGGTCACACAATGGGTACACCCGAGGATTCCCCACGAATGGGGTGTACACACTTAAACTCCAAATGGAGAGTGCTAATCTTTCGAGTACAACTGATGAGTCTCGAGTACAACTGATGAGTCTCGAGTACAACTGGGGACAAACCCCATCGGCTTGCTGGTCACTTGGCTTCCCTGTAGTTACTTCAACAGGGAAACAAGGAAGCAACAGCGGTTCAGGGGGGGACCAAAAGGACGTTCAGAGCATCACGACTTTCTCAAATTGCAGGTACGTCCAGAAGGCGTCCCTTCCGGATTTCACGACCAAACCATCACTGTCTTCGTTGGGCAGTGAGTGATGGCGATCCACTGCCCCCCTGCTGAGAAACCGAAAGGGTGGTGACAGGGCATTCTGTCACTCCGCGCACACACACACACACCCACCCACCCACCCAC